AGGTTTCCAGAGCTCCACCACAGGGCCTTCCTCTTCTCCACAAGCGTGAAGCCCGGGCAGCTGTCCAAAAACTCTCCCCACCTGTTCCTGCTCCCTTCCTCTTCTCTCTCACAGGCATTTCCCTCCAGATAGCTGCTCCACGGAACACAGCTTTGATGTCTACTTCCTAAACAATCTAAAATTAGTTACTCTTCAAAAGAATTGCCTGAAAATGAAAATGTGTTGAAACTACAGAAATAATCCTAAATGAAAACATGTGTTATTCCTTGTGTGGATCACAAGAATATCTCTCCTACATATGAGCGATGCGATAAGAAATGAGGAGACAAACAGCTACACGCTAGAAGAGATTCTCTTAACCTGGGAGGATCATTACTTAAGTTATTGATGCCGATTTAAACAAAGAAGTGAACGCCTGTTTATTAGCACTCAACATGGCCAATCTGCCTTCTGGAGAACAGTCCGTGGATGGTCTATTGGAGCAAAACAATTTGACATTAAGGTCAGATTGCAGTTAGAATTTCAGTGTTTAATTATCTATGTTAATGTTGGCAGATTAATCTCTCTGAGTTCCTGTTTTCTCAACTACAAAAATACTAATAATTTTCACTTTGACAAGTTGTTCTCAAGATCATAGTGAATACATGTGCCTGCTTAGGACATAATAGGTGTTAACTCTCCATTCTTGCTCCTTCTAGAATTTCCCTTACCTGCTGCATCTATGAAGACAAGCAGGAAACAGCAGGCAGTGCAAGCTCCTTGTCCGTCCAAAAAGCCCTCACACTGGAGGTCGGAGGTGTTTCCACTTATGCACAGTTCTGATATTCATCCCGATGTTCTCATCCTCCGACATCAAAGCTCAAGCTGTTTCCAAATCCCACCTTGGTGCTTCCCTTTCTCCTCTCACGGGTGTCAAAACTTTGCGATCTCTTCAGTGTTCCTACTTCATCCAGGTGACTTCAGACATCTTGTCAACAAAGACATTGCCAGCCTACTGTCTTAAACACATTCTTCTAGTTCTACTAAATCAAATGATATCATTTCTTCCATGTGATCCATAGCATACATATTAAATAATGTCCCTGTTTCTTCCTATTTCAATAATTGCTCTGTCCTAATCCCTAAGAGTCATATATAGGTACTCAATAAAACAATTTTTAAAAGTCATTTATATAAAAGGTGTGTTGTGAATGACTCTGAGAAGTCATAAGACCGACTGACCTGAAATGTATCCTGGTACTTATATAATTTGTACATAATGATATGAACTTGTATGTTCTCAAGTGCTTAGGTTCTGTGAGGATGAAGAGATTCTGAGGTTCCTGAGAAAAACACGATGTTATAGTAATTCCTCACAATTCCTCCACTCCATGCCAAAGGTTTTCCGCCCCTTCATAGAAGTTGCTGTAGCACAAGAAGTCATACTTGGACCTTTTGCTATGGTGTTCTCCAAGTGCAGATTTGGAATATTGTTTTTGGCTCTCCTTCCCTTGTATCTATATAGAATGGTTTAACTAACATGCCACATTAACATCTTAAAAGAAACAAACCAACCATGGCCTCTTTAGATTACACTAGCACAATACTAGACTATACTCTTCAGATTATAATAGCTTTCTCTGTCCTGGACTTGAAATCTGCTAGTTGCTCCTGGTTTGTTTGGGTTCTCTGAAAGTCAAAATTATGAATTTTGCTAGAGCTTAAGGTTGTTTGGTCAGTGTGATTTAATCCATGGTGTCATGACAGACGGAATATTGAGCTGTCTACTGAGATCATTTTATCGGAGTGGGCACTTCTGTGAGGTCATTATTTGGAGGAGCATGCACTTAAGTCAGGCAAGGTGAAACAGAGAATTTGTCATGTTTTCGGGAAAGCTTGGAATGGCAAGTTTATTACAAAAGATACAATGGTGACTACTTATTCCCTTCCCTTTGGTATATACATACCATTAAAGAGAGTCAGTCAACATTCCAGGAGTGGTGAGCTCGGAGATTATCCCAGGAATGTTACTGATGAGATACAGGAAGCAGGAAGAACTCTAAACTAAGAGCCTCTCGTTAGCCATGAAGTTCCGAACACACTTCTGAGACTCAGCGTCTCCCCAGTTTAGAATGTGGGGCAGGGTGGAGGTTTGACTCCTACCATATCATTTTCCAGAGTCATTCTGTGGTTCCTCATTAAGCTCAGAATGCTTTTTATTTATTATTAATGTTATTGAACTTCAAAGGCCTTTTTATTATTTCTTAACCTTGTCTCATCCCTGAATAGGGTCTTTTATAATACCATTAGCCCTGTATCCTACTAAGAACTCATTGCCTTTAGATTTGTTCCAGCTTCTTTGAAAGAGATGAGTTACCAGTGCCACTTGCTCTATTGTACTTTGAATCCGGAGCACTTAGGTTTGCTTGAAGCAGCCATTATGATTTTCCCCATTTTACATGACAGAGCACTCCCATTCTCAACGTCAGATAAAATCCCTACTGTAAACGGGATTATGAGATGGGGAGCATTGTTTCCTGCTGTAATTAAGTACAATAAGTCAAGTGCAGACCAGACAAATATGGCACATTTTCATTCACGTGAACCTAAGACGTTTGAACTCATCAAAGTAAAGGGAATGAAGATGATCAGAGATGGGTGGTTAGGGGAACTGGAAGATGATAACAGGTTCAAGGCCACAGCTGAGTAAGAGAAGCAAATTTAACCATGTGTTCACCACAATGGTGAACATAGCTGGCAAAGGATCACAGTGTATTTCAATATTGCTTACGTTTCAAATGTTCTCACATAAAACGTCTAATTTTTGAGATGATAGGTTATTGGTTAGTTTGATTTAGTCATTTCATATTGCTTTCAAATATCATAAAAATACTTTGTAGCACATAAATATATATGATAGTAATTTGCAATTCTGACAGTACAGGGTATATAGTACAAAAAGACTAATACTACCAACTATAAAGGATATGTAGAAGCTAAAATTTTTTGTATTGTCAGTGGACATATTGTACAATAGATCCATACTAGAAAAGTCGGTAATTTCTTAAACAGTGAAACATACACTGAGAATCAGTAATTCTACTCCTCCTACAAAAATTAAAGCTATGTCCAACAGAAAACAGGCATGTGAATATTCACAGCAGCATTATTTAAAACAGCCAAGAATCAGGAGCAAGGCAAATATCCACCATTTGGTGAACAAAGGGAACCGAGCACAGCCATGCGACACAATACTACTCGCAATCAAAACTGCGACGGAATGACTCATGCGCGCAGCAGCACAGATGCAGCCCAACCGTAACACTAAGGACAAGGTACCACCCGCAAAAGGCCATCAGATGATTTCATTTACACAATGAGAAGAATCTGGAGAAAAGGCCAAACTGGAAGCAGAGTGTGAACTGACAGTTGATGGAGAGTAGGGCTGAAAGAAGAAATAATTGAATCTGCACCAAGGAACTTCAAGGGAGGTGAGCACAATGTTTTAAAATTGGGTTGTGATGATGGCTGCACGGCCACATATGTTTACTAAAATTTATTAGTGTATACTCTTACATGGGGTGAATTTTATAGCTTTAAATTATGCCTCAATAAAACTGCTAAACGTTGGTCTCAAAAAAATGACAAAATTGAATCCAGAAATCATGTCCCCTAATTAACTCAAACCCTCCCAGGCAGAATTGATGATCTGTTGCTCAGGGCTCTTCGATTTTTTGTTTTCTTTCATTTATTGTTGCTAATGATATTATGGACGAGTTGCCTGAGTACGATGAGTACGATGGGGCTGGGAGCCATGCCATCTTTGTAAAACCAGTGTATGCTTATCCTTCATAAACAAATGTCAAATTCAAAAGTCCGACCGACAGAGTGAGGATGATCCTGACTGCATGACTTGTTCAGAGACGAACAACCTTAAGGTCAGCATGCTCTGATGCTGATCACATAAATTGATTTCTGTAGTTCTTATCGCGAGGCTTTACAAATCCTCCTGTCAACTCGAGATTGTCAGTGATTAAGATTCATTAATCCTCCATTGGGTGAGGAGTAGATCCGGGGCTGAGAGGAAGATGCAGCGGACCTAATTCCTTCTTTAGCAAGCTCCCAATTAGGAAGATAAGCGTTTGAATCAGAACAACCAGGAAACACACATGTCAACCCTGTAAGTAGGAACACCAAGAGTTTCTTCCTCACTTATGTTATAGTCTAAATAAGCTTTACTCTCATTTGGTATCCTCCAACCTTGCTTCTTTTCCACTCTCCAGCTCCCCAAAACTTCTCACCTGGTCACTTATTTCAGAGGCAGTGGTTAAGACCTCTACGATGAAAATTTAAAAACATTTAAAAAAGAAAAAGAGAGAAATAGAAGAAGTCACCAAGGCACATGAGGAATTGCACGGTTGTTAAGACCTTGTCATTTCCAAATGATTTTTTAACAGGCAGGAGTAAATCTTTGTTGTACTAATGGAGTGGTGATCATTTTAGTAGAGTGCTAGAAGAACCGTAATTTGTTCACTATAGTGAATTAGTACTCAGTATTATCTGAAAAACAGAATTTAATATTTCCTAAGGCTTTTTGTTTAGGATTATTTGGTACTACTGAATATCAATAATAAAGCGAAGACTTATTTAAGAAGTTAAAATTCTAATAATATAAAATATAAAATTCTGTATCCCTAAGAACACTGCCAGATGTTCCAAAAAAAAAAAAAATGCATGTCTAAATGCTGTCCTTGTTCTTTCCCAAATCCAGAGATAAGAATATTTGCTGCAAGTCTTTGAACTCTTTCTTTCATTCAGAAGTCTATATTCCCTTCTAATCACATTATCACAGTCCTAAACCTTATTCCTATTTACGTCAATATATATATTATCTTTCCTTCATTCCTTTCTCAACAAAAGATAGACAAAGTTGTCTTGGCCAGACACGGCAGATCAAAGTTCCAAAAGAACGTGAGAGAAAGTTCATTTTACCTCCAGCACAGTTGTGTGGGGAAACTTACGTTGAAATCATACAGCACGCCGAAGTTGGCTGCCGACGCCTCTTCAGCCCTGGGTACCGTTTTCCTGGGTAAACTGCCATATGGCAAACCCCAAAGGTACTAAAAGGGGAAGCAAAGAAAGCATTAACAATTACAAAGTCTGGGGCACACATGGGAGCACAAATGGTTTTGTTTAAAAGCACTTCTGAAGCTTCTTCACGGGGACCCGGAGTCTGCATGTGGGGTCCCATTTTCTGAGAACTGACTGCTAAATCCAGAGTTAAGAACAAAAGGAACACTAGGCACCCTACATTGTGAGCTCAGTGGACCACCAGCACTGGACCCCCCACATTTCCCAAGAGCTTGGCTGGCTAGGAAGCCCCACTTCCACCCCCCAACACTACCCCCACTAGCCTGGAAAGCAAGTCTGAAAAGGAGAGAAGTGACCTCTTCAGAAAAAACAAACACAAACAAAATTGCCCTTTTCCCTATTCCATCTGAAGATGGGACTACCCCGGGTCTGAGAGTAGTAGAATTCTCTCCCTGAAGTCAGGTGGGCAGGACTCAAAACCAATTGTGTAATCTGAAGGTGTCTGTAAGTGGGAACACTGGCGTCTGACTGTGGTAACTGTTCATCTCTAATTCAGGCAAGTCCCCCAGATTAAGAGAGAAGCATATAAAGGGATAATAGCACTGTGGGGCAGCCGGCCCCTGGCAACCAAGAGCACATTGGTGACAAGGGTGACGAGTACCCCTCTGGTCCCAGGGCTTGCCAAGCAGAGGCTCATCCTGCTTGAGGCGGAAACTTCCTGCCCTGGAGCTGAGGCAAGAGGATGAATATGGTTTGAAGCACACATGGAGAATTTGGCCAAGGGCTCAAAAACTGGCCCTGCACCTGCTACACACTTGGTATCATTTTCCACTGCAACATTTTGCTTCTTTGGGCTTCCTGAGTCTTAACAGAACAGAAGTGGTTTCTGCAAGTACTGTCTTTCCTCGGCTGGGGACAGAGGAGATTGTTGGGATTGGTCAGGGACACGGGAACTCAGGACAAAGGGACACGTACCTCATAAACGCTCGGAAGAGGCAGGGTAAAAGCAGTGCCTGTTGCCAGCAGAAGAACAACCATAGGCAACTCTGCAAGGTTAACCTGCAGGGTGCCCCTCCTCATCCTGCCTGTGTCTCACACCAGAGCGAATAATCATCACCCAGAAAACAGGATGTCCCTTCACATTTGACACAAACCTCTTTAAAAAGCGTCTAAAGCCAGTACGCATCCTGTGCATCCTGCATTAGGCAAACTCACTATATCCACTGCATGGAAGGCATTTTTTAATGTTAGCCTTTCACTTCCTCCACAAGGAGGCGGCATGGCGTGGGGAAAGAGAAGTGGCTGATAAAACCCCATTGATATCTGAAGCTGACACAAAGCGCTCTCCTGGTGCCCAGTACCACAGTGGAGGAGTTCCTCACTTCCTGAGAGAGGTGAGCAAAATCAAAGCTAGGGCCACTCTGAAATGGATGAAATATACACACAATCTTGCATTGTCTGAAAGTTAACAAGACCTCTGATATATATCCTCTGTGTCTGACAGGCCAGAGAGCCTTAGACTTCCAGAACTTGCTGAGGAATTGCTAATCTAACGAGTCAGAGAGCAAAATCTTAGGGCAAAGGATCAACCATGGGTCCTGGTTCCAGAATAACTAAATGAAACATACACACACACACACACACAAAACCTCCCAACTCTGTTGGAGGTGTTCAGAAGTCACATAAGCATGAAATGACTTGGTTTCCACTTGGAGGAAGAAAAGCCTTCTATAGTAGTCCTCTCAACTTTGCTTTGAGCCTCAGCAAAAGAAATGCAAGTCCTGTGCACTCTTAAAACCCAAAACCCCTCTTGAATCTAAGGCACTGTTACTACCGTTATACTAACGAGGACTCATAATATGAAAGTGCACTGATTTGAAGCTATGAAGATAAAGTCACACAAAACATCAAGTTGTGTCTACTGTCAATGGTGCCTTGTAAAAATAATGTACCTCTGTAGGATAAATAAAATCCAACTGAACTTCTTAGGATAAACATACAAAGATAAGCCTCACATCAGCTTGCTTTCTGTCCTTGCCCGGGCTCTTGCCCACACGAGTTCAAAGCTTTGTTTTTGGTTTTATTTCCTGATTTTATTCCTAAAAATATCCCACCCCACGGTGAGTGTATGTGTGTGGGTATCTGGATCATGTTGGTATCTGGGAGCAAAGTGTGCTCATTTTATATCTCTTCAGTATAGAAAAGCCAGATGTTTCAAATTCTATTAAGAAGTATTTCTTTTAAAGTAAATTTGGCAAAATAAATCAAAACAGCTCACAAGGTGGCATGGCTTCCTCTTCAGCAACGGTTCTTAACACAGGGACCACCTTAAGAATCTGAGAGAAGCCATGAACTTTTCCACATAAAAATACACATTCACATAAACACAGAACATTCATTATATATCACAGGAGGCTTGGACACACTGGGGAGCAAGGGTCAGGACATCAGGTCCGTGGGCACCCTCTTGCAGGTTAATTTTGTCCCAAATCGTCTGGTTCTACGAGGTGAATGTAAGGGGTCTGTAATTCTACTCTGAAAGAACAGATACAAGTTTTTCTAGGACAGTGCTCACTCTCATAAGAAGCTTTTTGCAGCACCTACTTTAAAAACGAAAAGTCAGTTCTCACCTCTGGCAATATGATGAGGCTGAAGGTCAGGATAAAGAGAACCATGTTTACTCCGTACATCCATCTCAAGAAGAGGAAATAGGAGGCCACGGAAGAGCCGAACTGGCCTACGACAAAGAAGATAAAGGGCTTGGGCCAGAGATCAAAACAAATCTGCTGAGACGGCGTGGGTCCTTTTCATGCTTGCATATCCTACCGCTCCTCTCTTTGTCCTGAGACAGAGCATGCTAGCCACGAAGCATGTGTTTCTTGGCACGGAGCACGGCGAACACACCTGTGGAAACTCTGACTTATCCTTGCAGTGAGCGTCCCAGGAAAAACCACCTTTTGCTTCGCAGCTACAACTGCAATCAGCAGAACCCGTTATATTTGGTGAGTTAACACAGATAAATAAACACAGGCAAGGTGCTAGCTGCTCAGTCATCAGAAGTTCACCACCGTTAGGATGATCAGCGTACTTCCCTCTCTCCCAGGCAAGCCATGCCTCTTTCAAGCACATTCCCATGTCACTCATCAATGGTTTTCTCCTTCATTCCTGGCATTCTGCACGGATGGGAGAGACGTGGACATTAATTCATTCTCACACTCTACACATCTTTACCACAAACTTGCTGCCAAGAATCACCTTATAGGGAGAGCACCATGTCACAACGAGGGTGGCTGCTCTAGCAAAACTTACGGTCCGATGAGTGTGAAAACAACAAGTACACACGACACTCCATGATGCTAACAGCGTTCTCAGGACGTGAAACTAGAAGACAAATTCACTGTGTCGTAAAAATATGTGACTTTCACGTATGGTTTCCGCATGTGTTCTCCCTGAACTGTTTCTTAAAGATACCTTAGTGTGTTTGTAATGATGACGAGAAGGGTTTGAAGAGGGGAAGGTAAGGTTCTGAAAGAGCTCGCATTGGTATCAGAGAGGGTGACACCTGAGCACAGAGCTCGAGTCAGAAGCAGAGTTGGGGACGCATGCAGCTTAATCAGACGGAAAAGGAAGAGAGGCGTGTGGAGCAGGTGTCGTGGCAAGGGCTAGCCACTACGTGGAACACCCTCGCATCATATCCTGGTGTCTAGAACCGAGTCCTGCCTCTGCCTCTGGTCTAATTTCCTGCTAATCGGCACCCAGGAGGCAACAGATGATGGTTCCAATAGCTGGGTTCCTGCTGTACTTGTGGGAGACCCTGGCTCCTGACTTCAGTCTGGCTCTGCCCTGGTTGTTGTTAGTCCTTAGGGAAAGAGCAAAGAGACAGAAGATCTTTCTCCCTCCCTCACTGTTCTATTGGTCTGCCTTTCAAATTAATCAACTTTAGAAACATTCTGGAGATGTGAGACGTTGGAGCAGTTGAGGGACTAAACTAAGGGCTTGTGGCTGGAATACAATGAATGACAGGTGAGCAAGGATAGAGGCCAACCTGCATTGTGTAGGGCCTTTTAGTTCAAGCTAGTACATGAGGATTTTACTTAAAATGGAATGAGAAGTCACTGGCAGGTGTTAAGCACTGGGGCTGGAGGTGGAGAAGCATGAACATGGTTTTTTAAAAAGTTCAACTTTGAGGAACCAATTGGGATGCGCTAGACAAGAATATTCTGTTCACTTGCACCTGTCCCAAACAGTAAGCAGTAAAGTGATCCTTGCAGCAATTAATGACCGAGCCAAGAATAAAATCAGGCTTCTAAAGCACAAAATGAAGACACAAAGAGAGGGCAAACAAGAAGGGGCGGAAGAGAAGGAATAAGGGGGTGGGGGGGTGAAGATGTAAGAATTCAAAGTCTCAGATTGAGATCTCATAGATGTACAAACAAACCAGCATTTCTTTGTGGGTAACTTAAGGCTCAGTATCACGTAGAAAGCTTTCGCAATCTTCCCAGTTATCATTTTCAGTGACTTAAGAAAAGATGAAAAGTAAGCAAACAATCTCATCCGCCAGTTTTGTTCTGTCTCATTCAACCAGCTGTGTCTAGTGGCTGGTTTTTCTTAAGCGCTCAGGCTCTGAAATATGACCAGTGGGGGACAATGTTACTGAAGAAGGGAGTCTCAAGTAGAAAAAATTCCAGCCTCTACTTACCAGGAGGAGGCCAACCTCCCATGAGAGTAATGCCTCTATTTCCAGAAGTTAGCCTATTTTTCAGGTACCATTTGACTCATTGTTAAAAGGCGGAAATAGCTTATGTTAGGAATGTAAAAAGAAGTAAACATTTAAATGAATATTTGGTAAGAGACGTTGAAACCTGAGTGCTGCCTTTAAGAGAAAAAGAGAAGCTTGGATTCATTTCTAGGGACATTGTTTCTCTAGAGGAGACAGAGTTGTGTAAGATTTTTCAGAGTGGATGGTTTTGATACGCTTGCCCCCCTTTTCTGTGCTCACGTGCAATGGTTTGTTTGCAAAAATTCTAAGGCAGGCCCACGCCTCCCAGGACATCTGATCAGCTCCCTGGCTCCCAATGATTTCAGATCATTTCACGGCTGTTATCTGCGTTCTCCTGTAATGACAACCCAAGGCCGGCTCTGCCAGGTTCACTCATCATGTTTTATTGAAGGCAGTGTGCTTGCAGCCTGCTGGTCACCTCATAGTCACAACAGGAGAACTTCCTTCTCTGGATAACTGTGCTGCTTTCATCCGAGATAAAATCCAAGAACAGGCTACTGACCCCTTCTATAGCCTCCGTCTTGGTTAAGAAATGAAAATACTGTACCCCAGCTTATAGAAACAGACCTGTGAGCTACATAATCACTAAATGAGGGAGTCAGGGTTGCACAGGCAGCTTAACAATAGTAAATCATGGAGCCAGATGGACTTTATCTACAAGTGTTTGGCTCCAAATCTAGATCTTCGTTAACCATGATGCTACACACTCCATCAGCTAGAAGCATAAAAGTAAGTTGAGTATAAACTATGATATACATGCAATGAATAAGTAATGAGAGTGTGTATCTGAAAAAACAGCTAGAGCTAACATACATAAGCTGAGGCCAACAAAATCCATACATTGTAGGGTACTCAAAAAGATCAATCTTCTTTCCCCTTTAATCTATCCTAAATTCCACTTCACATTAAGTAATCAATGTATTAAAACAGTCTTAACATGAGACCTTGGGCTTATGCATATTCTTGTTCCTGATTTTTCTCATACTTCCTTCAAATTAAGGTTAAAAGTCTGCTTCTCCCTTCAGTTATTAGTATTAAGACAAAGTAATTTGTAGTCTGTCATCCTATATTATTTCTTCCTGAACTGACGGATAATAAGACACACAGATAAATGTGAACATTTCTAAATGGTTTAAAAAAAAACAATTAAATGACCTGAGACCGATATAAATATCATCCTATTAAGCTGAGCTATGAAACATAATTTTTCTCCCAAACAAGTTTCGAAGTGGGGAATTAACTGTGACAATTATGATTTGTATGTTCAAGAGTTCTCAGGCCAGCAGAAAAATGTGAGGTTTACTCTGAAGTGATTTCTAGTCTTAAAAACAGCTCTATTGGGCCCGGCGCGGTGGCGCAAGTGGTTAAAGGTCCTTGCCTTGCACGCCCGGGATCCCATATGGGCGCCGGTTCTAATCCCGGCAGCCCCGCTTCCCTTCCAGCTCCCTGCCTGTGGCCCGGGAAAGCAGTCGAGGACGGCCCAAAGCTTTGGGAACCTGCACCCGCGTGGGAGACCCGGAAGAGGCTCCTGGCTTCGGATCAGCATAGTATCGGCCCATTGCGCTCACTTGGGGAGTGAATCATCGGACGGAAGATCTTCCTCTCTGTCTCTCCTCTCTGTATATCCGCCTTTCCAATGAAAAAATAATAAAAATAAATCTTTAAAAAAAAAAATAAAAACAGCTCTATCACTTCAATTTGGATGCTGTGATCTACCATTAGGAAAAAAAATGTTATAATTCTGAGAAAGACTTGTAATCTCCAGCTTGACAGATATTAAAATATTTAATCTATGATTTCAAAAGTAATGTTGGCAACACAGTCAGTATAGATTATTATTTTCTGAGGATGCAAGACTTCAGTGTCTACAAAAAAACATACTGTGTGGGGGCAAGTGACTAACAATGTGCCTCCATGAGGGTGACCCTGACTACCGACTTGACTCCTTTATATGGCTCACAGGACAGGGAACGCCATGACATCTCAGTGACAGAGGCTCCCACGGCATCATCTGTGCTAGGAATCACCAATTCTGTTTTTAAGTCAAGAAAGAAATACGACAAGTATCAGGTGGGGAGTTGCTTATCCAACTGGACACTCCGGGTTTTAGACTCAGACTGGAATTCCACTCTTAATTCTGACAGCTCTTAGAGGGCAGACTGTAGAAGATCGTGAAGGTTGGTCATTTACTCTACCTCGAGAGCTGCGTTTACAATGGCCTCCATTCCTCACTGCCTCTCGAGGTACCACATGTTAGCTGTGTAATTGAAACACAACGTCTATGCCTAGTGCATCTAAGCTCCTTCCTCTATAACCTAAAACACTAGACATCTGAAACATTCATCCGTAATTTTACTCAATATATCTATCAATGTCAAGTGAGAACTAGTAGTAAACAAACAAACAAACAAAAAACACTCTGCTTTCACGTTCACTGGGAAAAATGAACATGAAATGAAATGAGACTACCTTAACAAATTAAGTATACCAGATTCTAGGCAGTGGTAAATGTTCAGCAGAAAAATAAAGCAAAAAAGGGATGCTACAGGAATGTGTAGGAGGGATGCAATCAATGAACTGGGATCTTTAGTTCATTACCATGTAATAATGAGAGAGAACTGGAGTAGTACAAACATGCCAGTCATGTCAGGGAAACTTCATCTACACCAACTCCCAAGGGCACCTCCCACTCTGTGTTCAACACCGCTTTTAATTAGAAGAAAAACTGGTCTTTGGTCCAGAGAGGCAAAGCTGAAAATTAGTCCTCAGTCAAAACACGTAGACATAATATTATGGCAAGATTTTACTCAAAATTATTACAAATGTTACCCCTTTTTCTTTACAATTTTATAATGCTTCACTGTGATTCATTACTCCATTGTACATTTTAAATATTTACGGACCTTAGTCTAAGCCTATAATGCTGAACTAAATAGGTTTCTAATTGCATACATTCACTTTCCATCATTGTATACAATCTGTACAAAATTAAGGCTCAATAGGAATACTAGATTGGAAGTTCTGAATGATTCGTATTTGCTTCAGGAATTTAAAAATCAAGCTGCGGGGGAACTGGCAATGAGGCACAGGGAGCTAAGCTGCCCTTTGTGGTGCTGGTTCCCCACACTGGAGTGCTGGTTCCAGTCCTAGCCACTCCTCTTCCAATATAGCACCTTGAGAATGACCTGAAAAGACAGCAGGAAGATGGTCCCCATGCATAGACCCCTGTGACCCCCATGGGGATCCCAAATGAAATTCCTAGCTGCTGGCTTCAGCCCAGCCAAAGCTGGATGTCATCGGCACTTAGGGAACGGACCAGCAAACGGATGTGCTATCTCCTGCTCACTCACTACCATGCGCTCTCCATCATTCCACCTTTCAACAAATGTTTTCTAAGTAGTAATTTCTTTTTAGAAATTTTAGTTATTTATTTTAAAAACACAGAGAGAGAGAGACACGCACAGAGAGAGAGAGAACTTTTCTATTTGTTGGCTTTTTAAGCTTTGTATTCCTTTCATAATAGTATAAAATTCATGAGAGTTATATTTTCAATGTCATGCTCATTGGAAAAATAAAATATCTGTCTTTCCAACAATATGACTCATTGTCATTGCGCACTACTCCGAGTTGCCTACGTAGGGTGGAAAATCAAGTCAGAAAGAGAATGTCGAGGTGGGCATCTGACCTAGAAGTTAACACGCCACTAGGATTCTCCCACTCCACACAGAATGGCTGGGTTTGCCTTCCGCAAGGAGGCAGTGATGGCTCCTGTTTTGGGTTCCTACTGCACATCTTGGGACAGTTGGATTAGTCCCAGCTTTGGCCTCATTTTTGGGGGGGGGGGGCATTTGCACTAAACAGGAGGTGCCTTTGTGTAGCCAACCAGCAGAGGGAATCTCACTCCTATTACTCCACATCTTAAGTTCATGAATTCATAAAACTTGAGAATATTTTGGTTTACGGTAGGGCCTGCTGATGGAGTCAACATTGTCCTTGATCAAAGAAGCGCCACAGTGTGTGTGTGTCTGTGTGTGTGTGTGTGTGTGTGTGTGTTTTAGTCTTCAGTCAACTCAGCACTTCACAGACTCAAAAAGACCTCTGGTTAACTTCTGAAAAATTTGTCTAACACAGCCTTCTCTACTAAATGAGATGTGATCAGCACTTACTTTCGATTGCCTTTATTTTATTTTCCCATGGCACACAAGCAGCTTTGAAGTTCTCAAAGTCGCGAAGAAATTTTGCCCATTTCTGAAAAGAAAGCCACAGACCTTAGTAAAGCCCACACCTCTGGTTTGTAAGGCGGCTCATCTCCCACCCAAAACGATCACAAATCCCTGTTCCTCGGGTTACTTTTTAACTCCCGAAAAGACCCTGTTCCAGTTTGAATCTCTCCCTATCCTCACACAATTTTTCATACCACCAATGCACTGTTTGGGTGAGATATGTGCACCTGCGTTTTGACACTGGACAGTGTGGTGTTTCTACCACTCCTTCAGGATGGAGCTCTCATGGCCCTGGGACCTCCCCCTGCCATGAAGCGGGCTGAGCTGCGGGCACTCACCTTGGCCATCATCATCTTAAACGCAAACCACCGTTTTCCTTTTCCTTTCCCAAGGGCGCCTTCATTTTCACTCACAAATTTTTTTGCTTCCCTGAAATAATAAGTGATATGTAAGAGTGGATGAGATTAATGGAATAAAGGGGTACAAGATATTTATACTTCATACAGCTGCAACCTTATTTCTTTCGGATCTTCTATACATCCTTGGCAAGTGGAGCTAAACTATGTTTCATAGCCTGAAGTTCATGCTGAGATCAGGAAGAGTAGGTATTTTAGTTTCACTTATTCATCAACTGGAGTCATTAAAAATCAAAGAATTTATGCTAAATGTCAAAATAAAAAACCTTAATTCTTCTCATTTGTGCCACACACACACACACACACACACACACACACACACACATTGAATCTGAAGTTTATGCCAGATTCTGGCAGTAAGAATATTTATTCTGAAATATTTTCCTTCTTTTCTGAGAATTCCTATTAAAATAGGGCCGAGAGTTTAGGACAAGCTGACATAGAACATGCTTTTTGACCTGGTACTTAATCTCATAAAAACAATTATGACTTAAAATAGAAACATTACATTATAAAGCAATTGGGAACCACGAGAAAATGAGGACTGGAATACTCTTTATCTCACATTCAGTTGGATTTAAATTGTTTCCAAAGAATTATTTATCTTTACTGGAAAGACAGATTTACAAGAAAAGGAAAGACAGAAAGACCTTCCATCCACAGGTCCACTCCCCCATTGGCTGCCAAGGCTGGAACTGAGCTGATCCAAAGCCCAGAGCCAGAGGCTTCTTCCAGGTGGTCCACATAGGTTCAGGGTTCCAAAACCCTGGACCAGCCTCAGCTTGTCTTCCCAGGTCACAAGCAGGGAACTGGACAAACACTGGTGCCCACATGGATGGGATGCTGGCACTTACAGGTGGATGATTAGCTAATTGAGCCATCGTGTTGGCCCCTAGGGTTAAAACGCAGGAAGGAGAGGGGCATCCAGCAAGCATTCTGTAAAGTACTGAATGGAAGCTTGTGAACAGAGCAGGGGGCGTGAGTTCTAACCCAGCCTCCGCGACCTGTTTCCGTGATCTTACCGGCATTTCTGAGCTCTCTGTGTACTCACACAGGACAGGCACAGACTCACACAAGGTGTGCCAACGGTCCTTTTAGTCCCTGTGTGGTTTCTATCAGATCAGAATTTCCCAGCAAATAAACAGTCAGAAACTCATTCCCTGCCTGCTGAAATGATGGCAAGAATGAGGCGAGATCACAGGTAAAAAAAACAACTTAATGAAACAGGTTACACACGGTCAATCCTTTTCTAACAACTTGTTTTGAAACTACAAATTTGTTCTGTCATAATTGATGTGTTTCAGAACAATCTGAGTATACAGCACAATTTTCAGGTTTTGCGGCTATGTAATTTTGTTCATGAGAAACACAAAGTGAACGTAGATCTTCCCAAATGAAACAAGCAGCTTTAAAATGCAGACTTCATACACCCGGCACCCCACTGCCTTCCCCAACCTTCGAAAGAGAAAAACCACTCACAGTCCCAGCTGGTATTATAACGCTCCAGACTCCACCCCGCACATGAAGCCACAAGTGACAAAGGTCCTGAAGGCCACAGCCACAAGCAAACTTCACATCCTTTCCAAGAGAAATTGTTGTTTTATTGTAATATGAAGAGATTTCAAAATGTTCATGGAAAAAAATGGAATTGGAAGATAAATTTGTTATGAAATGAAATCACACATGCGGAGGTCTTCAATTTCTCATAAAATGTATATAACGGAAAGTGTGCATGTATTTCTATTTTTTGCACTAAAATTAAATTATCTTTGAACTCCATTCTTCCGTACTCTCATGTTTATGTATTTCTTAACCACTAACCTGTGTGTAAAATACAGTTGCTATTCTTATTAATTTCCTACCTTGGAGGTTGGCACTGGGGCAGAATGAGTAAAGCCACCACCTACAGTGCCAGCATACTGTATGGGCATCAGTTCAATTCCTAGATGCTCCGCTTCCTAGCCAGCTTCCTGCAAACGCACTGGAAAGGCAGCAGAAGGTGACACAAAAACATGGGCCCCTGCATCCACATGAGAGATCTGGACGCACTTCCTGCCTCCTGACTTCACTCTGGCCACTTCAGCTGAACGGAATCCTAGTTATATGATGTTAGTAAAGTTTCTGTCAGTTAAGATAAATCTATCATTGAATAATATGAATGAGTTTTTACCTGTTTATCTTTTCAATTGCTAATAATTTCCCTTAATGCTAGGTACAATTTCCCATTTCTCTTTCAAGGATCATGCCCTCATCTACCCAAAAAATATATATCTTTACTCTGAAATTTTGATAGTTTCAAACTTCAGTCTACATGATATATTCACAGGCATGTACTTTCTCTCTTCCCTGATGTTCTATACCTTCCTCCATCTTTTGAGATTTCTCTGTTTCCAAGTTTAATTTCCCTTGTCAGCCAATGATTCAAGCCACTCCTACCTTTCTGCTACCCACCCTAGTCAAAACGGCTACTAGGTTCAACTCAAGTGAGAAACAAAGCCAGGAGCCGTGGAATGGCCCACAATCATTTTTTCAGCAGAAAGACATTCTGAATCCCCCGAAGCTGGTGCTGCTAGGATATGAATAAGCTCTTTTCCCGTTTGAAGGTCTGGAAGAGGGAACACCAGGACTCCGTGCGAGAACACGCATTAGTCCCAAGGTTGACCTCTGCCCCGAGTTGGCATGACTTCTGGAAAAGAAACCATCAGTATCAACCAATCCCCTACTCTCTAATAACAGATTTCTCAACCAGAAAACCAACATCTTTCATTGTGCAATTACAAAGCAAGGTTCAGAAAGACAATTCCCAATAGAGAGACACCCATTCACTGACACACATGAAGTGCGCCTGATTGGACGCAAGTGCAAAACAAATCAACAGAAAGAGCAGAGGCCTCAGAAAACCAACCAAGAAACTTCTCTGCACATTTTCCTGCTGCTAATTCATTCCCTAAGCATTTACGTTTAGCTGGATAGTTTAAAGGAATTTCATATATGCCTAAAATAAAATGGGCTTCTAGAAATAAACTTTGAATCTCTATTAGCTCTAAATCAGCCAAATATCTGACTCAAAAAATCATATCATTTCCTTGAATTGCATTCGATAAACGCTGCCTGCCAAGAGCGTAACCCTGTAGCTGGTACAATATGCACAGTTCTCTGAGCTGTAACCCCAGACTCAGGCATAAATAATTCAGCGAGGTCTATTTAATGACATTTATACCTGGACTCATCATTCATTTATCAGCTCCTTTTGCTGGTAATTAGAATAATAAGGTTTCCTGGGCTTTCAAGGCAGCTTTCACAGCTCTGTGAGCAAACACACTGTGGCCTAACTTACAAAGTAGATAATTTACCCGCAGCACTTGATACAATCCCACGTTACAAAGGCTGTGCTGCCTTGGCTCTCCTTTCGGGTTAGGTTGACTTTTATTTCCTCGTCCTTTCAGTCTGATAGTATGATTAAGCAAGCAGTGCGTTCCTCGATTGAATGAACGGTACTTCAAGGTGGGGGTTTACGTAATCAGAACCTGTGCTTATTTACACTTAAGAAAAGGAAAAGAATCCTTTACAAAAAAAAGTACTACTATTGAAAAAATTAACCAATAATTCAGAGAGCTCTCCTTTCTTCCAATCTGTTGCTAAGCCATTAAAAGACAGTTGCAGTAATAAGAAGTAACATAACATGCACAGATCGAAAATGAAAACTACAGCCATGCCTAAATATTACCTCTCAACAAACGTAAATGCGTTTTTTGACTGTGCAATTATTTTAAATCACCCCCGTACTGGAAAAGGAAGTCTGGTGACAGTAGTTGTATCAGTTAGAATTCTCAGTTGCTTTATTACAAAGCGAAAATATTATTGTAGCAACCCCACAGAGCAATCATATACTTTATGGGAAACAATGTAAGCCATAGAACAAAAATAGTAACTCTCCTTAACAAAAGCTGTACCAACAGGACTAATAGATGTTAATTTCCAAGCTGAATCTATAAATTGCAAAATTCAGAAAGTGCTGGGTATCATGAGGCAAACATCTCTCAGGAAGGTAGCATGTTTCCTGTCTGATTGCCAGCACAATGGGCACGGGACAGCTGTTTTTCTCACCAAGTGAGCACACGAGTTTGGGAACTGCTGGGAGGATGCAGGCTCCAGGCGCTGCAGTCACGATGCCCCCAGGGCCATGCCACATCACTACAGATAACTCCAGACCTGTGGCAGGTGCGCAAGCCTGAGACGGGAAATCCCACCCCCCCCCGCCCCCACGCCCCGCCCCCCCTCAATTCTCTTTCATTCCAAGGCTATCATTTCTTTCCAACTGTGTTTTCTCTGAAAACATATTGCCTTACTAAATTATAAAGTGTTACACTTGGAGTGGCTTTTATTAAAGTGTTACACTTGATCTTAGCCAAAATTATGAGAATTCTTGGAGACCTAGTAAAGCTTTGTTATTAACTGGGATTTGGTTGTGAGTATAAGAAATTTTTTAAAATTTCATTGATCTACACATTTATATGCAGTTCTTAGTAAGCATACAGAAACATAAAGAAATATTTAACAAATGATCAAATATCATTTTAAAAAACAAGTACTTCTTGGGCCTGACACAGTGACCCAGCAGCTAAAGTCCTTGCCTTGAACTCGCCAGGATCCCATATGGGCACCAGTTCTAATCCCAGCAGCCCCACTTCCCGTCCAGCTCCCTGCTTCTGACCTGGGACAGCAGTGGAAAATGGCCTAAAGCCTTGGGATCCTGCACCCACAGAAGAGACCCAGAAGAAGCACATGATTTCAGATGGGTTCAGCTCTGGCTATTGCTGCCACTTGGGGAGGAACCAGCAGCTGAAATAATTTTCTGTCTTCTCTATAAGTCCGCATTTCCAATAAAAATAAGTAAGTCTTCAAAAAAATAAGCAACTTGCCTTTCTTAGTTAAACAATCGCCTCTCCCTCTCCCTACCTTGCTTCCTTCCTTTTAAATGTGTTCAAACATGCCATGCCAAGAGCCGGATTT